CTGGGGATTTGAACCCGCCACCTTAGGTGTATGTGGCTGGCGCCTTAGCCGCTTGAACCACAGGCGCCGAGCCAGTTTTTCTATTTTTAATAGAGACGGGGTCTCACTCTTGCTCAGGCTGGCCTTGAACTCCTGAGCTCAAATAATCCACCCACCTTGGCCTCCCTGAGTGCTAGGATTATAGGCGTGAGTCACCCTGCCCAGTGGACTGTTGACTTCATGAAGGTACCAACCTAATTTATCTTTTCTAAACTCCTGAAGCATCTGCTGTTATGTGTCATGTGTCTCTCTTTCCCACCTGCCATCTGGCAGACTAAGGAGCTTTGAATTTGGGTAGGAGTGGGAGGGAATGGAAGATGGGAATGACCACCCTTGTTTAATCCTTGCTATTTAGTTTTGGTACAAAGCCAGGACCTGAAGGAGTTACAATACAACACATCCTAACAGCAAGGAGAGAATAATGTATTTCAAAATGGGAACTGACAGAAGTGTCTGGGAAGGTCTAGGCAGCATTTGAAGGTGGTGACTGGATAGGCCAGAGGCAGTTCTAGTGGCAAAACAGAAGCAAAGACAGCAAGGTCCTGCTGAGACCACTCACTCACCTGTCACAGAGCATCACCTCCGGTCTGTGTCTCACCTGCAGACATTCCGCATGGAGAGGGAACAGACCTGCGAGAAGGTAATCCCCAGCGAGGCTGAAGTCAGGAGAGGACTCCACACTGTGGCAGCTGTAAGCCCAGCAGCAGGAGATAGACAGCTGCAGGCTGATCAGGCAAGTTGCCTGGAGTAACATGCTGGCCCTGTGTCCAGCAAGGCCGAGCAACATACTTTTAGGAGGTGGTTGTTTAAATAGAACAGAAGGCAGCTGTGCAGACACTTCATAGCTCCACGCCCCTGGAAGGGCTGTTTGCTTCCGGCCTGGTGGTCCCACTCAGGAACAGATGCAAACCAGATGGCACTCTGTGATCCTTCCTATGGACGGTTGTGGGTTCCATCCTTGCTCTGGTGCCTATGGTTTCATCTGGCTCACAAAGGGAGCCTTGGCATTTGGTGGGGGGGAGGAGGGAGGCTGGGACACAATTTGACTGGGCCCTTAAGGGAGCCGTGTGGACAGTTACTATCAGGGAGCTGTGAGTTTTAGAACTTTTTACTTGGGCCTCAATTTACCAAATGTGACGTGGTTTGAGTTGCCACCCCACCCTTACCCGCTGGTCCTCAGCTTTCTGACATTGAAATTCTAAGCGAATCATCATGGCTTCACCTTGCTACACTGGGTTGCTCCCTTTAGCCCAAAGACAAATGTATGCAAACAGAAGGCATGCAAATAGACCGGTTTTGTTTAAAATGCCAGCCGCGGAGCTTTTAATGCAGGGGGAAAAAAAATCCCAAGTGGATTTCCGGAGAGGTGGTCCCGTGGTTGGACCCGGGATGTCTGGTTTCTCTCAGGAGCTAGCCTGGGTGGTGCTTTTGCATAATGTAAATGGAGCCCTGGGGGAGAAGACACAGCCGGTCCCCGGGCCGGCTGGAGCCTCCTAGAGCACTACCGGAGGCCTCTGGCAGAGGGCGCTGGCGTCCCCGAGCCTTCTTCTTTCAGTGTCCCGGCGGACTGCGCTGCGGAAGACGGGATCTCGCGAGACTCTCTCGCAGCCGATTCGGAGGGACCAGTATGGCGGAGCCGGGGGCGCTGCCGAAACGGGGTCTCTCCCGGTCCTCGTGGCTGCGGGCCCGGAAGGCCCGGCCCCAGCTCGTGCCCGGCCGCAGGTCCCGCCGCCGGCTCAGGACCATACGCTGGAGCGCCCGGCGGCGCCTCCGGCGGCGGCTGCTGCAAGCCCAGGCGGCCGGCGCGGACTGGAGGGAGGTCGCCAGCCAGGGCTCGCGCTTGGCGGCGTCCAGGAGGTTCAAGACCGCGGCGCCCGGCCCCGCCTTCAGCGCGGCTCCGACATCCACCCCTTCCCCGGCCGCGCCCCGCTCCCGGCCTAGCTCTGCGCCTCTCCCCATCCCGCCGGTGCGGCCGGTGGGTCCGGGCCGCGCGTTGCTGCTGCTGCCAGTCCGGCAGGTGAGTCGCGGTAACGGGAACCTCTGGTGGGTAGAGCCGGGTGGAGATGCAGCCCCCAGTCTAGAGGACCTTGGTTCCACTGGACTTGTTTTCTGGCTGCAAGTCCGTCTGTCGTAGCGGTGATAACTAGGTCCCCCCTGAGCGGCCTGGTAACAGGCTACCTGCCCCTGAGCCCTTAGTTGTCCAGAGCTGAAATGGTCTTTAATACTAAAATTAATGACAGGTTGCAATTGCAGTGAGCCTAGAAATGACAGGCTTTAAGGGTTCCAAGTGTTTTAGGTGTATGAAACCGTTTAATATTACCAGATTTCTTACGTATTTATGTTATGGGGGGGGGAGAAGGACCACCGACTCAAATTAGAATTTCAAAAAGGAGTCTTTTATTAACTGCGGGACTGCCTCAGCAAAGTCTAAAGCAGACTAAGTGAGAGAGCATTGAGGGGTCTAAAGTTGGGGTTTTTCTAGTCTGAAAGTTGGCAAAGGACCAAACAGGTGGGTTGAGAGCAATTAGAAGCAAAAAGAAAGTTGGTAAAAGAAGCAAAAAGTGAGCCTGGGGTCACGACGACCCCTTTTACAGAAGCGAAGCTTGCAGTTTAGCAGATTAGCCAATAGGTAACATAAAGGGCAGTTAGATGACATTAAGGTAACATAACGCACATCTAGCAACTAATGGATAAGTCAAACAATTTGTCACAGCACTTTACTCATTAATTCTCATCATGATAGTACTTGGCCCATTCGTTCTTACCTTCTCCTGTTCTGGCCCAATCTGGACCGATCTACGAGTAATGGTGCCTGCCATTTCAGAGTTACGATATTCTCATCTTTTTTTTGTCTTTTTATCCTACACAGCCCCCTGGTGCACGTTGGTGGCAGGCAGTACCCATCTTATGGGGATGATGAGGCAGCTGGCACCCATCTCATTTACAGAGGAAGAGACTTGTTGGGAAGCTTGCCGGAAGTTAAATAGTAGAGGCAGAATTAGAAGTCAAACTTAGGTGGCCTAAATCAGGACCCTTATTCTTCACATAGGCACCGGTCTGGGAGATTCCCACTCTAATACTAGAGGGAAATGAAAACCCAGGAAGAGAAGAGATTTGGCAATGAGCCTTTATAAAGGTGAGGTGACTGTCTGAAGCATGAGGAGACAGCAGACCCGCTTGTTCCTCATGTAACAGTATTCACCAGGCTCTCTCTGTAGCTGCCATGGGGTATGGTTAAAAATATAAAATATGTGATGTTAGTACAATATTATTTGTTACATAGTAATCAGCTGCCTTTAGTATTCGAATAATGAGTTAAGATTTTAGAATATTTCAGTCATAGTAACATGATCTATAATGTTATTTCGTTCTTTATTTGTTTTCCTGCTAGGGCTTTACTTTTAGTGGGATCTGCCGTGTGACTTGTCTCTATGGCCAGGTGGAGGTGTTTGGTTTTAACATCAGCCAAGGCCAGCCTGCCCAAGAAGTCTTCTCTACCTATACCCACAGTCGCCTGGCTATCAATGCAGTTCGTTACTCAATGCCCGAGAAAAGCAAGAAGGAGATCAAAAGAGAAGCCCGGACTTTGCTCAGAGCTCATCTTAACCTGGGTAATGAAAAGAACTGAGTAATTTACTGAGGGCCTACTATAGTAAGGCTGAAAATGTTTAGATGCTTATTATGGTCTAGACCAGTGTTTTTTTTTTTTTAATTGAGACAGAGCCTCAAGCTGTCCCCCTGGGTAGAGTGCCATGGCATAACAACTCACAGCAACCTCCAACTCCTGGGCTCCAGCGAGTCTCCTGCCTCCGCCTCCCAAGTAGCTGGGACCACAGGCGCCT